GCTTTCTTTGCTTTGTGTTTAAAAACCACCTATGAGTGAGTACATGTGATAATTGCCTTTCTGTGTCTGGGTTACCTCACTCAAAATAATGTTTTCTAGATCCATCCATTTTCCTACAAAATTCAAGCTGTCATTATTTTTTTCTGCTGTGTAGTACTCCATTGTGTAAATGTGCCACATTTTCCTTATCCATTCTTCGGTCAAGGGGCATTTAGGTTGTTTCCAGGTTCTGGCTATGACAAACAATGCTGCTATGTACATAGTTGAGCACATGTCCTTGTGGCACGATTGAGCATCCTTTGGATATATACCCAAAAGTGGTATTACTGGGTCTTGAGGAAAGTTGTTTCCTAATTTTCTGAGAAATCACCACACTGACATCCAAAGGGGTTGTACCAGCTTGCATTCCCACCATGTCTTGTTACTTTTAAAAATTAAGCTGAATATCTATTATATTAAATATGAAAGTTATATTTTAGTATCATTTCTTGTACCAAATCAATGTGTGTAAAATATAAAACTGCTCACAAAAACAAAAGTACTGAGGATCCAGATTAAATTATATTTAAAATATATGCTAAAATTTAGATAACAAAAAAATAAGAAGAGATCACAGTGGTAAAAGAGCTCTAGAAAGAGAAGTAGCAGAGCACAGATGCTATGCTACGGAAAGGGAAATGGGGAAAATGGAGGGAACTGGAGCTACCACAGTGGAAGGGACAGCAATACAGAAAAGGTAAGGAAGGTAGACAATACTATGGATGTTTGGAAAAGCCATAGGGAAACACATTGTTTGATGGTTAATCAAAATTATGTATATGTAAGTATATAGAGATAATATTCAGATAGAAAAGTAAGTAGGTAGGTAGGTAGGTAGGTAGGTAGGTAGATAGATAGATAGATAGATAGATAGATAGATAGATAGATAGATAGATAGATAGATAGATAGATAGATAGTAACTAAAGAAAGTTATACCACTTAAGGTGATAACGTTCCCCCCAAGAGCCATAGGCTAACTAACAAAAGACCCAGCCCTGGCATTGGAAACTCTCTTCGAACTGTTGACCAAGAGAGTCCAAGAGACTTCAAAACAATATACACTATTGCCATTGCCCTGGTTGCCTTCCAGAACTTGAAGGTAAGACCCTATTGCTGAAGACACCATGCAGTTCGGAACCAAGATCTGACCTGGAAGCCTTCTCCCTGAAGACTAGTCTCACAGCATCTGAAGTGCTGTGCAATCTGTCAAGGGAGAGAAGCAATAGTCTTACCCAGCCGTAAAGCCTGTTAACCACAACAGTGACCAGCACTGCAAGGTTTCCCCAAGGATCCAACAGTGGCATTTTATCTTGGGAGTAAATTACAGCCCCCAAATTGGACTATTATTTAATAAGAGGGAATCCATGTCTGCTACTGCAAACCTAGGCAACTAGGCTAGTTAAGTCATAGAACTAGAGGAGAGAATCTACTACTGACTGATCCCCCAGACTAGTATAATCTCTAACTGCCTCCTTAATCCTTATCTTTATGGCCTTATAAATGAATGTAGTTCTTATTCCTCATCAGAGAAGCTTCTTTTTGCAGCAGACACAGGCCATTACAAAAAGTTAAAACTGATCAAAATGTAGAAAACAACTGAGCACCAAGTACACAGCCACATCTCATACATGTACAACACAACCCCTATACCTAAGGCTCAAGGAACATCACATTGAAGAAGCAGAAAGGCTATAAGAGCCAGAGGATCAGAACTTCTGCTGCAAGATAGCATCTTCTGTATACAACAGGGAAGTTGCACTAGTGCAATCTCAACAATATGGCTGCCTAAACTAAACCTGAAGAGGGTCCCCACCCCTAGATGAAGAGCTACAGGCAATTAATGACTGCCAACAGAGGGAGAATTAATCTTCCTCAGGATGCACAAAGTGGTCACCCCTAAAAAATATCCATACGAGCACACAAAAAGAACTTGGCAAGTTGTATTTATATGTGTATCCATAAATAAATATGTATGTATGTATGTATGTATGTATGTATGTGATAATAATCATAGAAAAAGAAGACATAAATTTGAGAGGGAGTAGGTAGAACCTGAATGTGTTCGGGGGTATAAAAAGAGTGGAGAAAAGATGCAAACACAGTATACATGTGAACTTTTTAAAAAAAAAAAAAAAAGGTTTTAAAGTAAAAGGTAAGACCTGCCTCAAAGTGATGTGCCAGACTTTGTTGACTCCCCTCTCTGAGGAGTGGATGAAGTAGGGTGGGGGGAAGGAGGGGGAAGTGGGAGGAGTGAAGGGAGTAGGAACTGAAACTGGAATGTAAAATGAGAAAAGATTGTTTTCAAAAATTTTTTAATTAAACTTTTAAAAATTTTACATAAAGTAAAAGGTAAAAAATAAAGAAATATATGCAAACAAACATGTATATGCACATATATTCAAATATGTATACATGTTATCTTTTATATAATAAATTCCTATAATCATACAGTAATCATAAAGCAGGTAAGTTAAATGGAATAAGAAACCTTTTTGAATACCTTGTCAATTCCTTTAGTAAAGTACAAAACCATCATTTAACTGAAAATCGGGGTGGAAAACTAAGGCTTGTTCTAGAGTAGAGCGTACTCGTAAGCATCAGTGTTCAACATCATTTCCAACAACCTTGTTTTCAAGAATATTGGATTTATACTATTTCACATGGAGTAAATTGAACAAAATCAATACCAAGTAACATACCTTTCAGATAAATTAAGGCTTTGGTGAAGAGGGTCTAATTTCTGACATGTCTCTACGCTGTCAACAGATGTCGAAGGCAATGACTCTGATTGCACCTTGCTGGTATCACATAAATTAGCATCATTTCTAGGTAGGGTCTTTCTGAATTTTCGTCCTAAGTCCGTCCATAGAACATTCGTCAACATAACTCTGAGATGCCTGTTATATACATAAATAATACATATGGTTCTAAATGTTGTATAATACATGACTTTATTACAAACTGTAACAAGTATCTCCTAGAATTCTGAATTTCAGTACTTTATGAAATATAAATACTTATAAACATTATAAGTAAAAAACAAATGTCTAGCCATTCTCACTGACACATTATAAAGTAAAGCCTACTTCACTTACATTGGGATTTTCTTCAGAATTGGATCAGACACAGAACTGGATCAGATCATCTTCACAGATCTGTACAGCTTTGGATTCCTAGCCACTCACCTAAGCTTTTCCACAGTAGTGGAAGGTGGATGTGCATCTGCAGATCTCATCACAAAGGCAACCACTTTCTGAATTACTTGTGTTTTTGCTGTATCATGCAGCAATTTAGAAAATACATTAAAACTAAAAGGAAGAGATACTCTTATTTTACTTCATCTCTAACATAGATAAATAAAACATTTGTATTTAATGATAGAAACTGTGGGGATCTCTGGAAACACTGGGACTGGCAGAGAATGATCTTCTTAAGGCAAGAAGGAAATCAGATTCAATGCAACTTTGCCAGTGTTGGTTCAAATTTCTAGATTCTGACTTCAAGCAGTTTATTTTAGCCTTATTTAAGCACAGAACAATTTGGGGGGAAAGAAGTCTCCTGCTGGTAATTAACCAAATCCTATTAAGACAAGCTTACAGAGACAGTCTTTACAAAGCACATGCAGGCTCTTCCACAAAGATGGTTTCTGTTGACTCAGAAACGATGCTCAAGATTAAGGGTCTATGAAGCCCAGCCGTGGTGGTGCACACCTTTAATCCCAGCAATTGTGAGGCAGAGGCTGGTGGATCTCTGTGAGTTCGAGACCACCCTGGTCTGCAAAGTGCATTCCAGTACAGCTAAAGATAAACAGAGAAATCCTGTTTAGAAAAACAAAAACAAGTTTTTGTTTGTTTGTTTTTAGCCAGGCGCACAAACAAACAAACAAAAACTGGCTAAGGGTCTATGGCGAATGACTGTGGCAAACATAATGGCCTAGGGGATTTAGGTAAAGCATGGCCCTACAGAGAGCAAAAAATCACTAGGTGATAAAGTACACCCATTCCCAGCTTTCTGGGTGGAAAGCAGGTAAACATGCCTTTCCTGTGAAGAGACAAGCCTGCGTGTTTAACCTTCCTGGTGTCCCTAGTGCTTATGTGTGAGTACAGGGACCTAATGTTTTCAACAAATAACATCAACAGACAGCCTGATAAATGCGAGCGATTTCCAATTTTTCCTTCATCATATTTGTGCATTTGTTCATTTTATATGTTGCTGACAATATCTAAAAACTATATTCAGTCCTCATATCACGGAATAGTTTTTGCAGGGACATAAACAGGCTACCACGCAGGCTTCAATGTCAAATGAGGAATAGCTGAAATGTTAATCACAAGTGTTAAATCAGTAGTCTATTTGATGCCATAGGAAGCACTTTTAGACATCTTTTCATTATTTAACAAATACAATAATATTAAAAAACAGAAAACAAAATGCTCACATATTTTCATAATAATACAGGAAATTTCCAAATGCATTTTTAAAATGTTCTTAGCAGCTATTTGGGGACAGACAGAGCACCAGACAACCTAAAAGGAAGAACTTCCATGGAAACATGTTAACTAAGAAAAACAAATCAAGGTACAGAGAAAACAGAAATGAGTTGGTATATCTTTAAATCAGTATGTTCAACCAATATTTATGGAACATTTAACAAAATAACTATGCTAGTAGGATTTAAAGACATATCAACAAACAAAATGGTTCTTGTTCAAACCATCATTTAAACTAACTGAGAAGAAATAGGAAGGAGAAGTGATACTGTCATTTCCTCTGAACCAAATCAAGAAGGGTTTTGTTATGACGATGCCTGTTACAAGTCTGGACATTAATATCCCACAGAAGCTCATGTGTCCAAACACCTACAGATGTTCTGCAAGGCTGTAGAGCCTGGCAGTACATATGGATCACTAGGAGGTGGTTTTAAAGGTTACAGTCTGTTCCTGCTTTTCATCCCTGCTCTTTGCTTCTTGTTTCAGCAGCTTTGTGAACAAACCTGGCAGCTACCATGTAGCTGTTCCCTCATTCCTGTCCTACCAAGATGGACTCAATTCTGAAAGCAGGAGCTGAAAATAAACCTTTCCTGACCTAAATTGTTAATAACCTTTAAGTTAAAGTGTTAAAGAATGCAAGGCACTTTAACAAAGAAAATGGACAGAAGCTGAAAAAAAAGTTTAAGGAAACATAAATGTTCTGTATGAGTATTGCCTGGTCAAAGAAATAAAAAACAAAATTTATTAATTTGTTTTAGCTCCCAGCTGCAGTTTCTCCTCCCTCTCCTCCCAGTTCCTCTCCCCCATTCTGCCTTCTGTTCCCATGCCCAATCCACTCCTCCTCCATTTCTGTTTAAGAAAGGGCAGGTCTCCCGTAAGTATCTACATATCAAGTTGCAACAAAACTAAACACCTCCCTATGTACTAAGGCTGGGCAAGGTGACCCACAATGAGGAACAGGGTCCCAAAAGCCAGTAAAAGAGTCGGAGCCAGATAGGGGAGCACGGAAACACATTCTTAGTTAAAGGAGCCACCTTAGTGTTGGCAAGAGACTTGATTCTAGAGTGGCTCCCAGGAGCCCAAGGCGATGTCCCCAGTTAGTCCCTTGGGAAGCTGAGGATAGGGAACCTGAATTGACCCTATCCTATAGCAATACTGACGAATATCTTGCATATTACCATAGAACCTTCATCTGGCGAAGGATGGAGATAGAGACAGAGACCCACACTGGAGCATCGGACTGAGCTCCCAAGGTCCCAATGAAGAGCAGAAGGAAGGAGAACATGGGCAAGGAAGTCAGGACCGCGAGGGGTGCACCCACCCACTGAGACAGTGGGGCTGATCTAGTGGGAGCTCACCAAGGCCAGCTGGACTGTGACTGAAAAAGCATGGGATAAAACCGGACTCTCTGATTATGGCATACAATGAGGGCTGATGAGAAGCCAAGGACAATGGCAGGGGGTTTTGATCTTACTTCATGTTCTGGCTTTGTGGGAGCCTAGCCAGTTTGGATGTTCACCTTCCTAGACATGGACGGAGGGGGGAGGACCTTGGACTTTCCACAGGGCAGGGAACCCTGACTGCTCTTTGGACTGGAGAGGGAGGGGGAGAGGAGTGGGGGGAGGGGGAGAACAGTGGGAGGAGGGGGGAAAAGGGAGACTGGGAGGAGGCAGAAACTTTTTTTTTCCTTTTCTCAAAAAAAGTCGGAGCCAGCCCGTTCCCGCTGTTAGGGATCCCACAAGAGGGCCAAGCTACACAACTGTAATTTAAGCAGAGTGCCTAGGTGAGATGGAGACTCCCTGGTTGTCAGTTCAGTGTCTGTGACTCCCTATGAGCCCAGGTTAGCTGATTCTCTGAGTTTTCTTGTTGTGTCTTTGACCCCTCTGGCTCTCATGATCCTTTCTCCTCACTCTTCTGCAGGATTCCCCAAACTCCAACTAATGTTTGGCTATGGGTCTCATCTGTTTCAATCATTTGCAGGATAATGCCTCTCTAATACAGAAATTACATTATTTATCCAAATGTTTAGAGTGAAAGGAACCATGTATGACCAGAATAAGACTGTGAAATTAGTATACGGTGGACTGTATGAAGGAGGTAAAAGTTTTTTTTTTAATCTGTATTTTATGTGCATTGGTATTTTGCCCAGATGTATGTCAGTGTGTGGGTATTGGATGCCCTGAAACAGGAGTTACAGACAGTTATGAGTTTCCATGTGTGTCCTGGGAACTGAACTTGGGAACTATGGAAGAATTTATGCTTTGTTAAAACTGAAGATGTGATGTGTGTGTGTGTGTGTGTGTGTGTGTGTGTGTGTGTGTGTACACATACATGTACAGATGGGATACCCATGGAAGCCAAAAGAGGGCATCAGATTCCCTGGGGTTGGAATTACAAGTGGTAGGAACCCAACCCGGGTCCTCTGCAAGAGCACCAGTGCTCTTACTAATGAGACACATCTCCAGTTCCATGAGGATGGAATTCTGTAATAGCAAAAGTGAAACAGGTGGAGACAGAGATGTAAAGAACAAAGTTTTTTTAAGTTACAAAATTCAACTATCATAAATTCAATTTAAATATTATCAATTTAAAATGGTAAATAAAATCCACACAGTAACCCTAAGTAAAACAAAGAAATACACTCAAGCAGAAATAAGAAAGGTATTATATTATCTAATTAAACAAAACAAACAAAAAAAAGAAATCAAACAAGTCAGGAAATGATCAGAAAAGCTATATAGGAAAAAAACAAACAAACATTAAACAATGACATAAGTAAACTTGTCTCTCAGAGTTGGAGAGATGGCTCAGCAGCTGCTATTCCAGAGGACCTGAGTTCATTTCTCAGCAATGACATGGTGGCTCACAACCACCTGTAATGAGATCTGGTGCCATCTTCTGACCTGCAGGGACATTAGTAGGCAGAACACTGTATACATAATAAATAAATCTAGAAAGAAAGAAAGAGGGAGGGAGGGAGGGAGGGAGGGAGGGAGGGAGGGAGGGAGGGAAGGAAGGAAACTTGTCTCAAAAACAACCAAAAGGGTCTCACTCAGCAACACCCCAGACACACTCTCCCTGGATACCACATGGAATCAGGTAGAGATTTTCACTCAAATTCCAATTCCCAAGTCTCATCTAGAGTCCTGTAGCAGACCAGCTGTGTTGGGGGGAGGATCTTCCCTTTCTTCCTGCATTCCATCTGGACTCTACAGATCCTCCTTGCAGACTCAACTGGCCTTCCTCCTGTGGACCCTCTCAATTGCTTCCACACTTCTAGCCCATTCCCATTCCTTCCTGTCTACTCTCAATACCTTGAAACAAATTCCACCCAGGCCCTCCAGTGACTACATCTGGTTGAAACTCAGAAGCTCTCCCTACCAGGCAGCCCACAACCACCACAAGCTCCTAAGATCCAGAGAGGGCAATAGAAACCAAGGAATTCTGGAAAACCCTAAAAAGACAAGACCAGATATCAGCACCTAGAATTACAATCATCCTGTAGTAGTTTGAATGTAATTGAACACCAATAAGATCATAAGAAGTGGCACTATTAGGAGATGGACTTTGTTAGAGTAGGTGTGGCCTTGTTGAAGGAAGTGTGTCACTATGGGGATGGGCTTTGAGGTCTCCTTTGCTCAAGCTATGCTCAGTGTGACACACAGTTCAATTCCTGTGGCCTGCGGATCAAGATGTGAGACTCTTAGCTCTTTCTCCAGCACCATGTCTGCCTGCATGTCACCATGTCCCACCACGATGATAATGGACTAAACCTCTGAACTGTAAGCCACCCACAATTAAATGTTTTCCTTCACCAAAATGTTACAAGAACAATCTCTAGGCAACATACTAAATTCTCCTCTGAAACATCCTGAACCAGGCCCCCACTGTTCAAATCACTCTCCACTGTCTTCCATGCTCCTACTAGTATGGCCCATTAAGCAGTGCTTAACGTAGTCCACTGCTTTCATAACCCAAACTCCCAAGGTCCAAATTTCTCCAACAAAACATGGCCTATCACAGAAATATCACCAGTCCCTGGTACCAACTTCTGTCTTAGTTAAGGTTTCTATTACTGTAAAGAGATACTATGACCATGGTAACACTTATAAAGAAAAAATTTTAATTGTGGGTGGCTTACAGTTTCAGAGATTAAATCCATTATCATGACAGGATATGGTAGGACATGGCAGCATGCAGGAAGACATGCTGCTGGAAAAGGAGCTGAGAGTTCTACAGCTTGCTCTGCAGGCAGCAGAAGCAACTGTCACACTAGATGTAGCTTCAGTATAGAAGACTTCAAAGCTCACCACCATAATGATACATTTCTTCCAACAAGGCCATACCTACTCCAAAAAAGCCACACCTTCTCAGGTCATTTTCTTTAAAATTACCACACAGACTATACATCCATCAATGGCTGAGTGGATAAAGAAAAAGTGATATATTAACATAATATAATATTACTCAACTGTTAAAAAAGATAAAAAGTGGTATATTAACCTAATATAATATTACTCAACTGTTAAAAAAAATAAAAATTCTCAGGTAAATAGATGGAGCTAAAAAAAAATCATCCTGAGTGAAGTAACCTGGACCCAGAAAGACAATATGATATATATTCACTTATATGTGGATGTTAGCTGTTAACTTTCAATAAGCAAGCTACAATCCATGTAACCACTGATGTTAGGCAGAGTAAGGAACAAGCGGAAAGGATAGAATCACCCCAGGAGGGAAAAAAAGAATACATAGATATGAAAGGATTGGGAGGAGGAAAGGAATGGAATAGAAGAATCAAACAGACAGGGAAAAAGAAAAAGAGGGCCAGGGAGGGAATACAAAAAGAAACAGCTAAAACTAAGAACCATCTCAGGGGTCATATGGAAACCTAATACAGTAAAAACTTCCTAAAATATAGATATGTATGCAGGTGATCTAAATGGAATTGTCAAATAAAAAGGGAGATGGAACCCCAACTAGACATCTCTCGTCACCAAATGAAGCCTCTAGTTCCAGATGGACTACATCTAATTGAGCTGTTGGTCAAAGCCCCATGGGTACCCTAAACAATCCAGGCTATTGCCAAGGCCATTGGCTGCTCTTCACAAAAAAAGAAGAAGAAAAGGTGCTACTGCCAAAGATAATGCCTACAAAACTCACTCAACACAGAGAAGTTGAGCTGGTGCCCAACTAGAGCTTTCACCTCTACTGACTAGTGTTTGTGGTACCGCAAGGTACTCTGCATACCACCAAAACAAGGTAGATACCAACCAGCTATAAACACTTCAGTCTACAATGGCGGCATGCATGCAAGACACACTAGTGCAACATTGGCACTAACCAGCTTGTGGACGTAACCAACCAGTATCTGATTAGGTTTAAGGCACACTCCACAGCTGGAACCCATCCCCAACAGTGCTCAGATGCCATGAACCTGAGACTAGATATGCCAGGGACCTAGGGGAAAGTGAAGTACTATTGTTCTGCTAAAGGAAAATAGCAATAAAATGGCTCCTAAAGAGCATTCTGCTATATTCATAGACCAGTGTTTTGCTCGCCATCAGAGAAGATTTCTCCCGCAGGGGGTAGGGAAATAAATACAGAAACCCACAGCTCGACAATGTGCAGACGGTGAGAGACCTTGGAATACTCAGATCAGAATGGGATGTATCTATCAATTCCCTCATCTCAGGACTCAGGGGACCCTGTGAAAGGAAGTAAGAGCCAAGGGAATAGAGAACACCATAGAAACAATACCTTCTAAACACAGCAGGATTGATCACATATGAACTCACAGAGACTGTGGCAGCATGCATGTTCTTCTCTGACCTTCACATGCACTCTCTGACCTCTGCCCCCCACACAAAATAAATACAAAAAAACTAACTCACATCCAGGCATGGATGCACACCTTTAATTCCAGCATTTGGGAGGAGAGGCAGGAGAACCTGGGCTACAAAGAGAAAAGTTGTAAGAAAGAAAGAAAGAAAGAGAGAGAGAGAGAGAGAGAGAGAGAGAGAGAGAGAGAGAGAGAGAAATTATCTTACTATCAAAATGAAGTACATGGGGAATATAGAGAAGATAGTGAGCTAGAAGCTACCTTCATTTTAGCCAAGAAAAGACAGCATAAGAAATAAGAGACTTGTTGGGCAGTGATGGCGCACACCTTTAATCCCAGCACTCAGGAGGCAGAGGAAGGTGGAGCTCGGTGAGTTGCTGAATATGTCCCTTTTAAACCACTGATGACAAATATGAATTGAGAATTATTATCAGGGGCTGGAGAGATGGCTCAGTGGTTAAGAGCACTGACTGCTCTTCCAGAGGACCTGGGTTCAATTGCTAGCACCCACATGGCAGCTCACAATTGTCTGTAACTCCAGTTCTAGGAGATCTGGCATCCTCACACAGACATGCAGGCAAACCACCAATGAACATAAAATTTTTTAAAAAATTATTATCAGCCTATAATCCTTACATTGTCAGCTAAAGCTTATCAAGATGCACAAAACAATTAGCAAAGACAATCAATAATCACAGAAAGTTAAATCTTACATGAATCTTAGAGGACATTGAGTTCAAACCCTTCTACCTTAAATGTTAACTGAGACTCAACAAGCATCAAATAATCATTCCTGTTCACACTGTTTATGCATTGTATCAACCCATCCTACACATAAATACCTATCTTACCTTTCTGGTGATGGCTTAGAAGTGACAGGATGCCCATGGACACCTTTTTTGGTTTTGTGGTCTATACAGATGACTTTATTTCTTAGGCTTCTTCTCCACTAAGGAAAAAAATTGACAAAAATATAATAATGTGATTAAGGGTACTTGTATTTTTACTGAGATATTTAAGACAATCAGTCCAATTCCTTTTTGCTTATTAATTTTTATCTTATGTGTATGAGTGTTTTGTCTACATGTGTGTCTGTGAGTCACACTGAGTACCTGGCGCCTGAGGAGGCCAGAAGACAATGTCAGGTACCCTGGAACTGGAGTTACAAATGGTTGTGAGCTGCCAATGTGGGGCTTAGAATCAAACCTGGGCCCTGGGAAAGAGCATCTAGTACTTTTCACTACTGAGCCAAATCTTCAGCCCCCGAACCACATTCTTAGTAGTACAGAAAGAAAACTAAATGCAGGCTACAAAATACTGCCTTTTTCCAAGAGCTGAGATATAAATATACTAAAACAATAAGAAAACATTTTAAAATATTAACATTAATCAGAAATCAAGATTGAGATTATAAAACTTAAATAACAATAATAACTGCAGTTGTGTTAGAAGGAAATGGTAATAGGTTAAGAGAGTCGCTAGCTCAGAGGTAAAACACTTCCCTAACATGCACACATTGCCTTGTACGCACAAGGCAATGGGCTAACCTATGTATGTTTTAATTACTTCATTTTGAAATGTTATATGATATAGCACAATTATTATAAGCCAGATTAAATAAGAGCTGTGTCTATGAAGTAAATACATTTATAACAATTAGAAAAAATTAAAAGTGATTCTTTGTGAATTGCTACATGTGAAATAACAAGACCCATCATCAGGGTTTAGGTTTCCTATGACTAGAAGTTAAAATTTGGCTTATTAGTAGAAATAGTGGCATATGCCTGTAACTCCAGTACTCAGGAAGTGAAGGCAAGGAGGATCAGGCCAAGGCACCCCCAGCTACACACTGAGTTAAGTCACCCTAGGATACATGAGACTCTGTTTTAAAAATAAAAGGATAAAAAGAAGTTTAATTTATTTTGTGGACCTAAGCACATAAGTTATTTATTCTCTTGGCCTTTGTTTCCTTATTCTAAAATGGTCATGATGATAAGTATAACTACTTTATCCTGTGAATGTGAGCACGCATATATGCATGTGGCAGGAGATATGGTGTAGTATGCATGCACACACCTGGGTGCACGTGTATGACTAGCTATCTTTCTCTATTGTGCTCCACCTTCTTTTTGAGTGTCTTTTACTAAATGTGAGACTGAGCATTTTGGTTAAGCGGGCTGGCCAGTAAGCTCCAAGAGCTGTTCTATCCCCATCCCCCCAAAGTTGCAAGTCTGGCCATGAAACATCACTCCTGTTCTTCCGAGGGTGACAGAGATCTGAACTCTGGTACTCGTGCATGCACAGATCGCTTTTATCCACTGAGCCATCTCCCCAGCCCATGAGCAACTTCTTTGAAAAGATGTGACATCATCTCAGATGTAGTTTTAATGACTTACATACACTTCATCTAAAAGATATTTATACATACACTTGTAGTCATATTTTTCATAATATTCAAAAGATGAAGCAATTCAAATGTGCATCAAGAGACAAAAGGTTAAACAAAATGAGGCATATTGTTTACACGTAAACACATGGTATTTAAACAGTAAGCCTTCCATTACAGAAAGAAGAAGCTTCTGAGTCTGGTGGCATAACCTGTAATCCCAGCATTTAAGGAAGTGAAGGCAAGATGGCCATGAGTACCAGGCCAGCCTAGTCACATGGTAAGACCATGTTTCCAAACGTTTTCTTAAAAGAAGGAGATTCTGAAACATGCTACAATATGAGCAAGTCTTGGCATTAGTCTAAAAGAAATAATGCAGCTATAAGAAGACAAATATTGGATAGTTCCATTCAAATAACGTACTAATTGTAACCAAATTTATAGACAGAGGAGTGAGACTGAGGTGAGACAGTAAGAAACTATATTTTTAGGATTTATTTATTTTATTGGGCACTGATGTTTTGCCTGCATGTAAATCTGTCTGGGGGGGGGGGTCAGACCCTCTGGATATGAAGTTACAGTTTTGAGCTGCCATGTGGGTGCTGGGAATTGAACTTGAGTCCTCTGGAAAATCAGCCAGTGCTTTTAACCTCTGAGTCATCTCTCCAGCCCAAGGAACTAATAGTTAATGGGTACAATGTTTCATTTTGCAGGATAGTTGAATAACAACAAAAATGTATGAAGTGTCACTAAACTCTTAAAATGATTATGGCAGCCAGCCCCCATGATTTGGGGGTGTCCTGAAAGGACGATGATTCTGGCAGCCAGCTCTGGTGACTCAGTCCACAGTTGTGGTTCCAAAGGGAACCAGAAACATTTCACAATCCTACCCAAATACAGAGCAGCAGCTGCTTTGGAATAAGCCAGGAAAGCAGGGTTGGATATGCCTCAGGACCACCAGAACCATCCTAACTATATGACCTGTACAGCTGGTGCCTTTGGTTGCCACGCTCCCCGAGGGTAATGCTCGAGTGTCACCTCTTTCGAAGGAGAGAACACAGAAAACTGAGCAATTAAAGAAGAATATGGCATCACAATTGCCAATCTGAAAGATAAAAGAATTTGACACTAATTTTAAAACAAAGGATATCTCTGGAAAACCTAAGGATATCGTCATTGAAGCTGACCTTTGTCTAAACAACTTGGACCATGACCAGCTTTGTAACTCGGTAACGTCATACTTTTCTAAACATGGTCTGGGACCTGAAATATAAAATTCTCCATTGAAGCTTTATGGAATCTTTAGAGCCAGCCCAGGTGGTTCAGGTTTGATGCTCAAGCCTGGATAACCAAAGCCATGTGTAATCGTCAGGTCACCACACAGCTGCACACAAGCAGCCTCTGGCCCCATCTATGATCTACTTGGCAGGCTTATATAGGGATGAGAGGTGCTCAAGGCTGTCCTGGAGTGTGTGTTTTGAACCTGCATAGCAAGACTGTGCTTCCACGGACATCCCCTCAGCAGCCATCCTCAAGACACTGGTGATTCCTGGTCCTTAGCCGAAACCATGGGAGGACTATGAAGAAACACAAGGAGAGGCCTCAGCTAGCTTGATGGCAAAAATGACTCCTGAAGGGTACTCAGGTGATAGGGCCTCTAGAGGCTACAAAGGCACGCAACCCTGTAGACCTCCCTTGCTTTCTCCTGCCCTACCTTGGTCTTTCCAGAAGACCCACCCTCACAACCATGGCTGGTGTCTAGGCCCAGGTGGTGGCTGGGATACCCAGCATGGGTCACTTTCTTCTTAAAACCATTTGTTTAGCTTCTGAGTCTAATTGAAAAGCAGTTATGTAAGAGAGCAAACATTTGCTACCATGTTCTTTCTCCCTCTTCCAGCAGCTAACAGTTCCCAATAGCTCCACAGCTAGGGGTAGGACTGTGTGCCCAACTCCTCTGACCAGGCTAGCATTTGGTCTGGTTTGGACCTGCACAGGTTTTCTGCATGCTGCCATAACCACTGTGAGCTCCCGTGTGCAGCTGCCCTGCTCTGCCAATGTCTCCTGTAGTCATTTTACCTACCACCTCTGGCTTCAGCCCCTTTTCCATAATGATCCCTGAGGCTTGGAGTTTTGCAATACATCTGTTCCTTTAGGCTAAGCACTCACTGCTGGCATTGCCATTGCTCGTGGTTATCCTCCAGACTCCACGGTCACACCTATTACTGAAGACACCACACGACTGAATCATAGAACATGGCAGAATCAAGCTGGTACCACCTGGACACTTCATCCCTTCCTATCCAGCTTTCATAGTGCTGGACGGTGCTATGCACACTATCGGAAGAAACAGGAATCATAAGTCTTAGCCACCATGCGACAGACTTCCTACACTATCCTGCTGTGGGAACTCTGTTCCCAGAGAATTTTGTCTACTCCCCTTGCCAAAGGAATGCCTCTGCCTGCCAAAGGATTGCCACAGGTAAGATGTTCCCTTCCCTGTCCCCCCATTAGTTTAGCATGCTCAAGGGCATCAGGCAAACAGCCCCTCAGCCATGGAAGCTTCTGCATCTGAGCCCATCTGGCGCTAGTGATGAGAACCAGGCTATATTGTTCCCTGTTTCTCTGTCCCTGCTTAGAACTTGGAGTTATCTAGAATAAGAGTTGCGCAGAATGTTCGTAAGACACTCTTGTGCAACATCACCTGGACTCTGCTCGTTCGGCTGAATGCTGAATTCTACTGCAATCCCTGGCTGCAGTAATGGGGCAGAGAGGGGAGAATCTTGATAAATCTTCTAGAGCTGTAAACCATACAATGATTGGCCTGTCAAGACATGCCCACTGGTGCAATAGTGGCGTGAACATCATGGGAGCAATCAACCACTTTCTAATGGACTTTAAATCCCACTCCACAAGATAAAACCCATACCTGGCACCGTTATAAGGTCATAAATCAGCCATGCATAAGGTACACTTAAAACTGAAGACCAAAGATCCTAATCTCCAGGTTCTATTTTAACATATATTAGAAATAAGCTACAATAAATCTTTAATTGCATAGAAAATCGAAAGCAACACATAAGAAAATAAAAACTTATTTACTAAAATATTTTAAACATATCAAATAAAACAATATCTTTTAAACGTGAATTTACCCCCTTGGGGAGCTTCCAGCATTCTGAGCCTCTGAGTTTGGACAATGGTGACTGAGCAAGAACATCCTCTGACTTTACAGCTAACAACTTTGTTATCTGGAACCAGGACAAGAAAACAATTAGTTTAACTGAAAGGTATAGAAGAACTGAATCAACTAACAGAGGTACTGTCTATTGCTCTACAGAAATACTCTAATAGTTTTAAAGATGTCAATTAAATTCTTAATTTATAAGCAATTAAGTCCAGTTGTATTAAAAATATCTTCTCATGAGCAAAAAATTAGGTAAATGAAGGATCATACTAGCTAGCCAGGTGGTGGTGGCATATGCCTTTCATCCCAGCACTCAGGAGACAGAGGTTAGTGGATCTTTGCAAGTTCGAGGCCAGCCTGGTCTACATAGTGAGTTCCAGGACAGCCAGGGCTACACAGAGAAACCCTGTCTCGAAAAGAATCACACTAGCTTCCTAAATACTATTCTCTTGCCTGGTCTCTTCCCCTTCTAATCTAAAAAGCAAGCTATAGTTACAGAACACGCAAAGGTACTCATGACTGTAATACCCAAAATAGAACAAAGGCATTTGTCACTTGTAAGTAAAACTGTACATTCATGGCTGTTTCACATCACCCACAGATTTCAAACTCTGTAATTCAACTTTAGGAAGTTGCTAAGCTTTCTTTAGTCATGTTGCATTATTTGGTATCTCTAGATGTTTTTATATAGTATTTCTTCAATCTAGGTTGCTTTTCCAGGTATTTCTTTTTTTTTTTTTTTTTTTTTTTTTTTTTTGGTTTTTCGAGACAGGGTTTCTCTGTGGTTTTGGAGTCTGTCCTGGAACTAGCTCTGTAGACCAGGCTGGTCTCGAACTCACAGAGATCCGCCTGCCTCTGCCTCCCAAGTGCTGGGATTAAAGGCGTGCGCTACCACCGCCCGGCTCCAGGTATTTCTTTTGCGCCACCACCGCCCGGCTCCAGGTATTTCTTTTTATGAAATACTCTAGACTTGTCTGAAAGCTATCTTCATAAGCATCATCTTTACTTGAAGCCACACCCTTCTCTGTATGTTAGAGTTTAGCACATTTATTTTAAATTATTTATATTACTCATACTGTATCAGTTATTTGTCTAGATAGCTGTCTTCTTCAAAATGTTTAATCCTCCTAAACTGAGGATCCTGGCCATTCATTTTCCTTCTTTTTTGTCTGGGTTTTTTTTTTTTTGAGAAAGGGTCTTTCTATGTAGCCCCAGCTGGCCTGGAACTTACTACGCAAACCAGGCTGGCCTTAAACTTGTAGCAATCCTCCTGTCTCTGCCTACCACGAGATGGTATATATAGCTCATAATAGCTAAACTTTAAAAATGAATGCATGAAATGTAACAAGTTAGAAAACATTTGTTTAAAACTTAAATACCTAAAATTTGTAAATAACTAAGTATTAAATAGCATCCAAAATCACTTACAAGGGAGCCCAAGTTCAGTAGCAAAGGACCAGTATAGCATGGACACAGGGCCCTAGGTTCAATTACCAACACCCTCCTCCTCAAAAAGCACTAATATCAACTATATCCTTTCATCCATAATGTTTCTATGAGAAGAAAGCCTAAGTCAGGAGGACAAAATAAATCTGAAAAAAAGTATACTTCAACTTTTACATCACAGCTTACATCAATAAGGGACAGCTAATCTTCCTGAGCACCAGTAACTTCCTAGTTATTGCTTTTCTGTATTAAAAAGTATTTCTTTCTAATTCTTCACTTGCAAAAAAAACAGTACCTCTAAAGCATTTGATTCAATTCTGAATACTGTCAAGGATCAAACTCAGGGAAGGCCTCGTGTAGGAGAGGCAATTAGACTATTACTAGCTAAGCCATATCTCTACCCCTTTTGTTAATTCATTCATTTGAAGGAAGGTCTTACTAAGTTATATAGGTTGAAATTGAACTCACTCAGTAGCACAGGCAGGTATTAAATTGTCTAAGTTTCTGCCTCCGCTTCCTGGGGAGCTGGGACTATAGCCAGCTCCTCCGGGCCTACCTCTTTGTATTTTCAATCAGGAAATGACAGGAGTAAGATAAAGGCTTCAGGCTGTTCAAATCCAAGGATCCTCTCTTATTTAGGTTATACACACTGTATTTTCCAAGAATAGCTCTATCAATATTCCCATACCACATGGTCATCTTATATTGTGATACCAATAACCCTGAAACAAAATCATATTCCTTCCATTTGAACCTGAGCAGGCCTATGACTTCCAAAGCTAATCTATAAATTCAATATAGTGGCTAAGCATAGTAGCACACCCCGTAATCCCAGAACTGGATTGGAGGCTGAGGCAAGAGGATTTTGAATCACAGCTAGTCTGGGTTATATAGTTAGGACCTGTTTCAAAAACCAAACAAAATAAAATGGCAATATAGTTTCAGTATAGCTCAAAACTGTCCAGAAACACCCCCTCTATGTTTCCTTCCCCTTCTGTCTCTACACCTCAGAACACACACACTGAAAGGGAGTCCAGATTTTTCTTTTAAATTTGGCTGCCCTGAAGCTCCTGAACTTTAAAGATTTCATGAAAAGACTGAAACAAAAGTAATAAATGAAAATATACATCACGATGTTTGAATCTAGCTATACCTAGGGATATAGCTCAGTAAGTAGAGTACTGATTTTATTGGATGAAGTCCTAAGTGGAGTCCCCTGCACTGCATAAACCAGATTGTGCACACCTGTAATCCCAGCACTCAGGAATGAGACAGGAAGCTCAAAAGTTCAAAGTCTATCTTTTTACTACATAGAAGTCTGAGGCCAGCCTAGACTACATGAGACTGCAGTTATCCGAAAGGCAAGAAAAGGATGCCTGGGGGTCAGCAAGACAGCTCAGTGTACAAGCACTTGCTGCATAACATGGGTGGCCTGAGCTCGCTCCCAGATCCACTGTGGACAGAGAGAACTAACTCTCCAAAGTTGGTCTTACTGTCACTCATGTGCCAGAGCTCATACACACATCATATACAGGAAGCCCACACAATAATAAAGTAATTTTTAAAGATTTCTGGGGGCTAGAGAGATAGTTGGGTAGTTAACAACACTGCTGCTATTCCAGAGGTTCAATTCCCAGCACCCACACGGCGGCTCAAGACTGTCTGTAACTCCAGTTCCAGGAGACCTGACGCCCTCACACAGACATACATGCAGGAAAAACATCAACTCACATAAAATAAAAATAAAATCATTTTTTAAAATGTTTACCATTGATAACTAGGTAGGCAGAGAGAGAGAGAAACAGACACACAAAAGAAAAAAATGTACATCAAATATTAGTGCTTATTGTATCTGGCTAGCAAGCTCTAGAAACAAAGATTTATTTATGTCTTTAATTAGGTTTATATGTGTGAGCTTATGTAAGGCCAGAAGAAGGCTTCAAATCCCTTGAAACTGGAGCTACAGGCAGCTGAGGACTGCCATCTGGATGCCAAACTGAACCCACATGCTCTGCAAGTGCAGGAAGCACTGCTAACTGCTGAGCCATCTTCGCCAGGCTCAACAGTGGTCTTTTTTGTTCAACTGAATTTTCTAATATCGCCATTAAAAAAAAAAAAAACTAGTTTTGCTTTAAAAATAATTTTAAATACTAAGAAATTCAAAAGTATGTTTTGTGCCACTATTGATCAAAAGTGCTACCCTTTCAGTAATGTATTGCCACTAGCTACATTAAAAGAAAAAGTAATTAGAGAAACTAACTACTATCAATTAATGTTAATGTTAATTTTCAAAAGAATTCTAGATTTTGTTTTGTTTGATTTTGTTTTTTGAGACAGGGTTTTCTCTGTGTAGACTTGGCTGTCTTAGAACTAGCTCCATAGACCAGGGGGAATATGATCAAAACATTTCATGAAATTGTCAAAGAATCAATAATATTTTAAAAAAGAAAGTTGATAATAGACAAAATGTTAAAAATAAGGACAAAAGAAAGCCAGACTAAGACTGGTGGTATTAGACTGGAATCTACAGTCTCAATAGTGAGTTCATTTTCTTGTATTTGTACAGAGAGAAAGAAACGCAAGTAAGAGAGACGAGGAATTAATGCAAGTGAGTATGTGTTTTCTAGGTCTGACTACTGACAATGCCTGCAACCATTCCAGTGCCAAACATATAGTGCCGTCCTAGATCTGGATTTATAAATGAAATTCTTTCCATTTTAATTCAATTAAAAAAATGACTGGGAGTGATGACACACGACTTTAATCCCAGCACTCGGGAGGCAGAGAGACGCAGATCTCTGAATTGTCTACAGAGCTAGTTCTAGGACAACCAAGGTTACACAGAGAAACTCTGTCTCGAAAACAACAAAAACAAACAAAAATAGCAAGAGCCAGAATTCCCTGGAAATATCATTGATTTCCAAGGTTTAGGCAGAGAACACAAGGTAAGGGTGATGAACGGTCTTGCGGTCAACTGGACTGAAAGACACCTGCACCGCACTGAGATGGTAAAGCACACCTGAGTGTCTGTGAGGGTGCTCCCAGAGACCAAACCATGAGGGCTGACTGAGTGATGGGGTCAAAATCTGAACAGTCTGGAAAGCGGAGGAAAGCCTTGTTAAGGGGCTATCTCACTGGGCCACGCCTTTGAAGCATGTTATTATGGCCCTGGACCACTTCTGTTACTCCCTTCCCTTCCTGATTGCCTTGAAGTGAACAGTGCCCTTCCTCCACGATGTTTCTGTCTTGTGATAGCCTAAAAGCAGTGTCCAAAAATCTCTGAAACTGTGAGGCAAAATTAAATTTTTCCTTCTTCAAACTGTTTCTCTCATAAGTGTGTCACAACAACAGTCTAATGAACAAAATTAGCATCCTGAAAGTCAAAAACATTTCTTACAATACTGAGAAAAAAAGCCGAGCCATGGTTGCTCACGCCTTTAATCTCAACACTCGAGAGAAGGTGGCAGGCTGATCTCTGTGAGTTTGAGGGAAGGGGAGGGAGATGAGGGAGATGAGTGCAGAGAACAGTAGAGAGGAGGGGTGGAGAGAAAGCACACACCCCCAAAAAAATAATAACACCATGTCAAAGGGTTGAGGGGGGCTATGGAAACAGATTAGTCAGTAAAACTACTTACTTTGGAAGAACAAGAACCTGAATTCAATGCCAAGAATTCACAAAGATAACCTATCAACAAATGAGGGGTGGGAACAAATACCTGAGGAACGGCACTTGAGGGTATCCTCCACATACATGTGTGCACATGTTCTCTCTGCATGTGCATTCGCATACAGATGGATACACACACACACACACACACACACACACACACACGAGCCAATCTGAAAGATACCCTATGGCTAAAACTAGAAAACTTTGACAACAACAGTAGATTATACTAAGCAGAAGGAAGTAAGTATCTGAGAACAACTTGATATAAATAAGTTGAGGAAAGACAGCTCTCCCTTACAGGAAAATTCCCAATAAGAAATGAAGAAGGAATACGGAAGATATGTACTATATTTGATCTTGGCCAAAAAGGTGATAAAGGAAATAGAAAAATCAACAAAAGAATTCAACCAAGATCCACTAGCAGATGCCAAAATACTGAGCAAGTATCTAACACCACCATGTATTAAGTTGCAGTTTGGCCAAGATACCTATAAATCATAAGGAGAAAATGAGTAACCATACAGGGGAATAAGCAAGAGATACTGCCTTAACCAAATAATCAGGCTGACATACATCATCAACAGTAACACACACACACACACACACACACACACACATACGTTCATTCAGGTTGAGGAACATTCTATACAAATTATCTAGTACTTTTCCAAAGTGTCATGGCTATAAAAGCAGCAAGACTAAGGAGGCATAACAAACACAATGGAGAATCTTGGAATGTATCTATAGGTTAAAGTATTACATCAAGGCTAATTTCTTATTTTTGATAATCATACAGTCATTATTTAAAATATTAACATCAGAAGAAACTGAATGAATAATACATAGAAATTCTGCCCAATTTCTTTAAATTTTCTGACTTAAAAGTTATTTGGAAGTAAAAACTGTCATATATCTACAGAGCAGACTATGGGAAAGGGTGTGGCTTAGTGAAAGAGTTCTTCCTCGACACTTTCAAAGCTAAACACTGTGAAAAATGGCGAACGATAAAGGAGGAAAAGAGAAAACAGTCAGGGAAGAAAATATGACAGCAATGTAATTAATTGACAATTATGGATATATCACCCAGGCTAGCCTCAAACTTCTCAGCTCAAGGGACCTTCCAGGGCCAGATAAGGTATCGAATACCTTTAATCCTAGCACTTGGCAGGCAGAAAACAGTCTTTATGAATTTGAGGCCAGCCTAATCTACTGAGAGCATTCCAAGCCAGGCAGGGCTAAAACTGCACAGTGGTGTAAGAAGAAAAGAGAGCAAGCAGATTATTACAAAGAAATCCTGAGCCAGGCTTGGTAGTGCAGGCCTGCAATCCCAGCCCTCGGAAGACCATCTTTCAGGGTTCCTGCTTCATGAAAGAATCTGCGAGACATTCTGCAGGACACAGAAGAAAGTGACTGACAAACTGCCAATATAGGCGGAACTGTCTTTGAAACATTATTTTGAGTGAGGTAACCCAGACACAGAAAGACAATTATTAGGAAAATGGATGGAGCTAAAAAACATTGTTTTGAGTGAGGTAACCCAGACACATAAAGACAATTATCACATGTACTCACTCATAGGTAGTTTTTAAACACAAAGCAAAGAAAGCCAGCCTACAAACCATAATCCCAGAGAACTAGACAACAATGCGGACACTAAGAGAGACTGACATAGATCTAATCTATATGGGGAATAAAAAGTAGAAAAAGACAAGATCTCCTGAGTAAATCAGGAGCATGAGGACCTTGGGGGAGGGCTGAAGGGGGACAGGAGAGGCAGGGAGGGGAACAGAGAAAGATGTAGAGCTCAATAAATATCAATAAAATAAAAAAGATTGGAGAAAAAACTAGGTGAGTGGGAGACATAAAAAGGGGACATAAATACGCTGCTCTATCTGGACTTAGGGTGTTCATTAAAATTGTGGGCTCAGAAAAAAAAAACAGAATAAAGATTTTTCCAGTTATACATAAAAAAGGGTGGATAAAAGGAAAACAAAAGTTATCTAATAAATAATCATTATGTAAATCAGGTTACTATCACACTTAAATCACTAAATGCCAGGGGAAGGGAAACCATACTTTTTTAAAAGATGAAACTGGGCTGGAAAGATTGCTCAATGGTTAAGAGCACTAATTGCTCTTCCAGAGGTCCTGAGTTCAATTCCCAGCAACCACATGGTGGCTCACAACCATCTATAATGAGATCTAGTGCCCTCTTCTGGCTTGCAAGCATACATGTAGGCAGAATACTATATACATAATTAATAAATAAATAAATAAAATCTTAAAGAAAAATAAATTAATTAAAAGATGATCTTAAAAACTTATTGTATAAAGTAAAAATTAAAACTGTTTTTGCTAGTTTGGGCTTATAGAATAAATGAATTAAAAAAATTTTTTTCTCTCTTTTTGGTTTTTCGAGGAGGGTTTGTTTGTGTAGCCCTAGCTGTCCTGGAACTCACTCTGTAGACCAGGCTGGCCTTGAACTCACAGAGATCCACCCACCTCTGCTTCCAGAATGCTGGGATTAAAGGCCACCACTGCTCAGCTCTTTTTAGTATAATTAAAAATATACTATTAAACTTTAATCAGTGTTTTAGGGAAAATCCCAGCACTCAGGAGGCAGACGCAAGTGGATCTCTATGAGTTTGAAGCCAGCTTGGTCTACAAAGCTAGTTCCAGGACATCTGGGACTGTTACACATAAAAACCCTGTCTGAAAAAAACAAAATAATAATACTAAAATATAAATATAATATATATTATTCAATAATATACATATATAATATGTACAATAATATATATAATATTTAAAAAGTAAGTTGTTATTGGCTCAGTGATTTCAGAGTTGATAAACACATTAACACATACCTCCTGTAAATCAGGTGATGATGACTTTTTTCTTTTTCCCTCTGTGACAATCTCTACGAAAACCAAAGACATAATAAAAATTATTATTTAACATCTAAATGACACAATTTAATGAACAGGATCCTTTTATATCTATCTTTTATTTACAATTAAAAAACACTGATGTTTTACAGACACTAAAGAGCCAAGGTTTGTCGTGGGTCAGTGTAACAGACTACCAAAAATATCTCCAGTAAACATATGCACGAGGACTATTTAAAATGAAAGAACTAGACCAGCAGTGGACGTGCATGCCTTTAGTCGCAGTACTCTAAAAGCAGAGGCATGCAGATCTCTGTGAGTTCAAGGCCAGCCTGGTTTACAGAGTGAGTTCTAGGACAGACAGCAATTTCACAAAAAAAAATCCTGTCTCAAAAAAACAAAACAGAAAGAAAAAACTAAATAAATTTTCAGATGATTTGGAAAATTCTTATGATGGAGAGCAGAGGTGAGATTATCTAGATTTTGGCAGTATTCTACAAAAATATCTCCTTCAAGCTCTATCACATTCACACACATGTTGCACAGACAGAAATACTTTAACTCTTTACTCATCAACATTTTCCAGACTTCCTGTGGGGTTTTCTTATATGAATTCTCTTGTTCAAACAGCAAATATTTACTTAATGGCTATCATGTGCTCCTCACTGTGCTAACCAATGAATATAAATAACACTGAGCAAATCAGACACAATCCAAGATGTTTTAGCAATTATAACCCATAGCATGGTAGAACATACCTTTAATCCTAGCACTTAGTAGGAAGAGACATATGGATCTCTATGAGTTCAAGGCTAGCCTGGTGGTTTACATAGCAAGTTCCAGGACAGCCAGGGCTAATGGTGAGATCTTATTCAAAAATAAGAATTGTAATGTACTGAATTATATAGATTTCATAATAAAAATGAATGGTGGTATACACATACACACACAACACCAAGTCATCTACTTGTGACATATTACTACAGTTCAGTAAGAAATGGATGATTTTTCCAATAAATAATGAAGCAATTTGGGGGTTGTACATTTGAGTGCATATATGTGGACATGTGTGGTGTCTGCATGTATGCAGACATGTGTGCAGGTTACACACACCTTGCATATGTGGGGAGAACAGGAGGACATCAGGTGTCCTGTTCTTTGCGCTCTGCCTTATTCTTTTCAGGCTAGGTCTCTCACTGATCCTGGAATGGGGCCAGCAGCCAGCGAGCCCATGATCCTCCAGTCTCTACCCACAAGAACTGCTAGCATTACAGGTGCACACAGCTACACTAGGCTTTCTATGACAATGTTGGAAATTTGAACTTAAATTCTTATGATTGCATAGTAAGTATCACGTCAGACCCAGGGAAACAATGGGATAACCGAATGGAACTTAAAAAAACATTTATTACAAATGGGTCATACCTCTAAATGTCAAAGGTAAAACAAGGTTTATGCAAGAAAAACTAGGATATTTTCAAAGCTTTAGAGGAGGCAAAGATTTCTCAAATAGTACACAAATATTACCATAAATTAAAAGATCAATAAAGTGGGCTTCATTTAAATTAAAAATTTGGTTTAGCAGAACTCATCATTACGACAGTAAAGAGCAAAGTCTCATACTAGAACACAAATTCTAGTATATTGCTTGTCAAAGAACTCATAAGCAGTATATACAAGGAACTCCCTGGGTTGGGGAATGTACTTGCAGCAGAACACATGCTAGTAAGACAGGGGAAGGCGGGAAAGAGGAAGAAAGGGAGAAAAAGGAATAAGTACAATAAAATTCAATTTTTAATTAAACAAAAGCCTTGAATAAGCATTTTGAGATATGTATATACCCAAATAATCAAGACACAACCACTAGGGAAATGACAATTAAAATGACACGGAAATTCATAACTCAATAAATAAAATTTAAAAGATTAACATTACCAAAATTGGTGAGAGAAAAGGCTCTGCCAGTAAAAGTTAAATGTGTGTATCTGCTTTGCCAGTGTCCAGTGAGATATTCACCTGCCTGCCTTCAATACCTAACAATTATACTTCTAGATAAATAACCAAGAGAAACAAGATTGTTCATGCTATCTTTGTTGTTAATAACCAAAAACTAGAAATAACCCAAATTATCTCCCACTAGTAATATACATAAACATATTTGTACCAAGGAAAGCTCCTGAGTAATAAAAGACCATGAGTTACTTCTCAGTGCCATATGGATACATCTCAGACATTCTGTTCCACGGAAATCAGATGCACAACTGTGAAATTTTACAATTCAAACAATTCTATGATAATACTATTTTGAACAACAGAGGGAGAATAAAGGGGATAGTAACTGGGGAGAAGTGCAAGTTAAGTCTGATAAGATGTAAGAGGAGTTCTTTATCTTGAGCTACATGGTGACTATACAAGGGCATACCAATAGGAAGAATCTTGTAACTAGAGCTTTATCCCTACAGACTGGCTTTCACAGTGCTGGACAGTGCTGTGCTCACTACTGGAAAAGAAAGGGAATCGATGACCTTACCCAGTTCTGTGAGCTACGGAACAACTAGCCTGACAAGACAATAATGACAGGATGCCATGGGAGGACCTTGCTGACTGGATTTAAGGGCCTCTCCATAAGATGGAACCTATCCCTTGGACACCATTATCTGGGCCAAGAACCCGGGGCTAGACAATTGATAGGCCCTAAGGGAGAACCTACTACTAATATTATGCTAAAGGGACATAGTATTAAACCCCTCCTGACTTATACTCATAGACAAGTACATCTCTCAGTCCTCATCATAGGAACTCCTTTTTGCAGTAGACGGTGATTACACAAAGACCCACAACTGGTCAAGGTACAGAGAAGACAACCCATGCAAGTGCAAGCAAGACACGAATCCAGCATGGAAGAGGGAGGTAATCAGCAAGTCTCATTCCGAGCTGAGGAACTAGTGACAATCGACAGTTAATGGGAGAGAGAGAATCCATTTTCTTTAAAGGTGTGACCATTGGTAGGGGGAGGTCCCCACACCCAAGAGTATTTGGGCAACACAAATTGTATTCCATGGGCAAAGGAAGACGGGCAGCAGCAACAAAATTATGTGGGTAGAGAGGAAGAGACGGAGTCACGAGGAGGTCGGAGTTTGGAGGACAACCTTGTGGAGCCTATCTTACGGTGGCCTCTGAAGACTGACCTGGGTCTCTTGGCTTGCGTGACACTGTGGCAAACACCTTTAATCTCAGCACTTGGGAGGCAGAGTTCAAGGTCAGTCTCATCTACAGCTAGAATAGCCAGAACTATATAGTGAGATGTCTCAAAATAACAGAAGTTCCAAAATATAGAGGATTAGCTCTTGTTTTGTTTGTTTTATTCTGTATAAGAGTGTTTTGCCTGTACATATGTCTGTATACCATGTATATGCCTGGTGCCCAAGAAGGCCAAAAGAGGGCTTAAGAACCCATGGACCTGGAGTTACAGACAGTTATGAGCTGTCATGTGGATGCTGGAAATCAGATCCAGGTCTCCTGGATGAGCAGCCAGTACTCTTGACTGCTGAGCCATCTCTCCAGCCAACTAATTTGGTTTCCTTTTTTTTGGGGGGGAGGGGGATACTGTTGTTTTGTTTGGGGTTTTTTGTTTTCACAATGCAGTGGGATAATTACTATTTAAAGCAATCTATATTTTCAAAATGACTAGAGCAGTACCAAATTCCCAACATGTGAAAATTGCTAATCTTCGAAAAGAATAAAAAAATTTTATTACTCAGATTTGATAACTACAAATCATATTATACACATGTATTAAATTATGTACCCTGTATAGATACACTAATGTCACATTATGAAACTTCCATCAACTCAGTATCTTCCCTCACCCAGATTTGTGACAGTTATTACAGCTCAATCTACCAGGTCCTAGGTCTCTCGTTCTCGGTTCATAGCTTTCCTCTTCATCACTGTGAAGCACTAAATCCCCTCAATCAACTCATTCAACAATGAAGGCCGCTCTTGCTTATTCTGAACTACACATCTCTGTTTCAACTTCCACAATCAGAATTTTAAAATTTTCACCCAACCTTTTGGTTTTGGTTTTTTGTTGTTTTGTTTTGTTTTTTTGTTTTTGACACAGGGTCTATTATTTAGCCCTGGCTGACTGTCCTGGAACTCACTATGTGGACCAGGGTGGCCTAGAATTAACATAGATCTGCCTCTGCACAGTGCTGGGATTAAAAGTGTGTGCCAAAACAACCAGCTTCAATTTTTTGAATTGTTGAACCAACCTGAATTGTTGATCAATTTGCTGAACCTCTCATTCAACTGGTATAGGAGGCCCTTCTGTATTTGTGTTGCTTTCATTGGTTAAATAAAGAAACTGCCTTGGCCTTTTGATAGGGCAGTACTTAGATAGGCGGGAAGACAGAACTGAATGCTGGGAGGAGGAAGGCAGAGAGAGAGAGAGAGAAAGAGAGAGAGCCGCCATGGAGCCAGCTGCTGGACATGCTGAATCTTTCCCAGTAAGCCATGACCTCATGGTGACATATAGATTATTAGAAATGGATTGAATCAAGATATGAGAGCCAATAAGAGGCTAGAGCTTATGGGCCAAACAGTAATTTAAATGAATACAGTTTCTGTGTGATTATTTTGAGTATAAGCTGGCCGGGCAGCAGGACACAGCCCACCACTCCTCCTCCTACATTCAACAGTGTGCTAGTATGTGTCGTGAAGGACAATATCTAAGGAAGAGCTGGAGAGTACAATGCCTGTGAGCCCTCCTCCTGTGGCCCCTCAACTTTCCCACTTCCCCTAAATTCGCATCCTCAAACATCATCTTACCCAAAGATAAACTAATATTTCTCCAAGCACTTACCCCAACTACTGCAAACTCACTTTTTTTTTTCTTTCCAAGACAGGGCTTCCCTGTGTAGTCCTGGCTATATCCTAGAACTCACTCTGTACACCAGACTAGCCTGCCTCTGCCTCCCAAGTGCTGAGATTAAAGGCGTGCACCACCACACCCAGATGCAAACTCCCATTT